ACAGACAGACAGACAGACAGACAGACAGACAGACAGACAGACAGACATACATACATACATACGGCTCAAGATCTCGGCTCAAGGATTCCAGGCAGCCTCATTTGGCACTTTGCGTGAACACCAACGGAGTCCTTGTATCCGAGAAGGGTGGTTTGACCATGCGACGGAGCTACTTAGTTTGCACAGGATGTAAACAGAGCTGGCTTTGGGAGGACAGGTTGCTGCATCAGCCAGATCTAGCATGCAACCAATGTGGTCGCAAATGGTGCAAGCAAGACAGTTCCTGATCTTGAACGACGACGAATAGAATGGGCGGCTCGGAATTTCAACCACAATGGTCAGCAAGGGCCCCAGAGGGAGCTACAAAGATGTACTGGTGACACCACCACCAGGACTACAAGGAGGACAAGCATCCAAATAGAAGAAAGTCAAACAGACCAACGTAGAGAAGAAGCTGCAAGAGCATTGGTCCACAATCCCGGAGGCAGTGCGCAGCCAACTGGAGGCCATGGGGCTATCAGGGGCTGAGCCAACTCCGCCACCGGACCTGCCGACCTTGATCAAAGAACATCTACAAAGCCTTCCCACAGAGCTCAAGGAGGCTGTGGAGAAAATTGTCGAGCCAGAGAACAGTGAACCGCCTCTCAACCAGAAGCTCAAACAGGCAGGACGTTGAGTGGCTTGTGGTGTTTGGTCCATTCCCCATCTGTGTGGGTAAACCTCCCTATCTGTGCCACCCATAGTCCTCTGTCTGAAAGCACCTGACCATCAGCCGTATTTGCCCACTTTGAGATCAGGTTCTCGAATTCATTGCCTTCGTCTTCCGGGAAGATCATATGTGCAGGGAAGCATCCCTCAAATGGACTTCTGGGCGAAAATCCACATGGTGGTATTTCGTGATGACTTTACTGGAGCTTGCCAAACTGACCAGCTTCTGCAAAAAATGAGATGCATCATCTTGTACATTGTCATTGAAGGTTGTTCACAGTGGAGCCAGGGTGGCCAGGGTGGTGATGTTGACAACATCATCTTCTCCCAATGCCGCCATGACCGCTGCTGTGGTGCGGTTCCATAGTTCCGGGCCCTGCGTGAAGCTACCCGACCAAAGAAGCGCAACACAGCACAAGAAAAAGGCCCGAGCATTGTGTCAACATGCAGTATTCCTTTGTGACGCTAGTGCGTCAGTACATGTGACACTTGGTTGATGGCTCTCATCAACCTCGCCAGGTTCACATACCAGGTAGTTGCTACACATGTTCGACGCACATGTACACACGCAACGAACACTCAACGTAGCAACAAACTTGCAGCTTCCACGCAGATCTGATATGATACAGCAAGAGTTTTGCATTCATGTGTGAGATTTGTTCAGGCGCAGGGGTAACAGTTGACAGCAAGCATGCTTTGCATTTGAGTAGACAGTGGTCGTTGGTGTGATGTCGCAAGACAGAGGCAGGGTGGCGTACGCTCGATGATGGGTGATAGGATGAAATGGTGTTAACGCAGAAAACACACAACTGGTTAGATATAAAGATATAAAGATATCTGTATCTATGTAGATAAATGTGGAGATGGAAAGATGGAACGGAAAAATCGGAGACTTGGTGGTGGGGATAGAGGATATGGCTTGTGTAGTCTGTCTTGCGTGTGTTTGATGCCGTTGTGTAAGTGCTGAAGATGTTTGCTCAGGTGATCAGGCGATCAGCGTGTGCCCAAGTAGTATTCGAACATGTATGCATGCGCTTTTAAAAGAGCACTGATGTAAAAGGACGAGCTGGATAGAGGTATAGGTTGCGTTTCCAAGGCGCAGGGCTTGGAAGGATGAAGCTGACAGATTCACCCGTTCGCATTTTGCATGTGTAGAACTCCCAGTGTGGGACTGAACTGGTTTGACCTGGGGAGGTCTGGCAGAGTAGAGCCACGAAGAACTCGTGGCCGCGGGGTGTGTGTTGAGTTGTTGGGAAGATACGGCGAAATTTGCCGAACTGATTTGCGGCAGGGGTATTCGTGCGCTCACACTGGGTGCCTACACTGCGCGCTTGGGGTGCGCTCCTGTGTCGACAGTGATTGAGCGCCGTTGATAACAAACTCATATAGCGCGCCCGCTATATATTCGCCCACTATGTAGACCTATATAGGTCCTGCTTGCTGGTGCTGTTGCAACGCGCTCGTGCGTGCTCACACTGGGCGCCTACAATGTCCGCTCGGGGCGCGCTCATTACTTCAACAATGATCGGGCACCGTTGACAACCAACATATATATTGCGTCCACCACGACCGCGACCACGACCACCACCACCGCCGCCGCCGCCGCTGCCACCACACTACCGCTACTACTACCGCTACCAGGTTGGAAACTATGTGTCTTGGTTCCCGGGGTTAGGCGCGGTTGGACTTTCCCAATGGAGCACTTCGTTTTCGCTTTGTCTCTCTTTACTACTAGCATTTGCCTTCGTGTCATGACGAAGAAGCGCTGTGCCCAGCGCTTGACGCTTGCCTCGTGACTGCTAGCAACATCTGCTCCTCTGTCAACTTCACTACTCAGTTGAGCGTGGGCCACGAGACACAGAGACGTGTACTGTATATGTATATATATATATACACGTAAACATGTATATGGTACCTTGACTCCATGATACATTGGCACTCCATGAATATTATTTCATGAATACCTTTCACGCCTTTCCTGGTTCGGGGCGCGATGCCTGAATGGTGCTGCGATTGGATGACACTTGTTTTTTGCAGACGCGTGGCGCATGATACCGCGCGTGGAGCGATGCTGCTCCTTCAGGTTCATATGGAAGGTTTTGTTGCGAGTTTTGCGCCTGGTGTTGTTGTGTCAAGAGCTGGCGGCATCTGTGGCAGCAGAGACAATGGTACCGATCTTATTGCCCTGGTTCAATTCCACTGTTGCCTATCGTAGCTAGGTGGCTTGGAGAAATGTGCCCGACAGAATGCAATTTCATGATGAATTGGAAAGGCGCCGGATTTTGGTGGGCGATTTTGACCCAGTGGGAGAATTGGATGTGTGGCCACAGCTGGCAGAATCGATGCTGATGATGGAAGATAGCTGTTCTGGTGGTTAGCTATCTATGTCATGCTGACGAGTTGGAAGCCAACAGGGACCTAACCGGTTTTGACTGGAGCGGTCTGTCTCGTTTGCATTTCTGATTCAGGTGGCGAGCTGACATGTTTATGCGCAAAGCACTTGACAGGCGGCAAATCGACATGGGTTGGCATGTTTGTTCAACGGACATGTTTATGCACAAACACCTGACAGGCGACATGCCGGCATGGGTTGGCATGTTTTGACATACTTCTGTTTGACAGATCAAACCTGAGATAGCAACTGCCGCCAGGCCGAATGAGATGAATTGAAAAGTTGGCCCGGCATTTGTGTTACAACAGATTTTGCTTTAAACAAAAGACCTGCGTGAGTCACTGTGTTTGACTGTTCAATCCTCACCACGACGTGAGAAAACAGATTGAAGTGTCATGGTCGGGATCACTCGCGGTAAGGTAATTTTGTCGTTGCTGTAATGTGGCCGTCGCAACTCTCCTTTTTGTGCAGCAAGGGAAATCCACAGCCAGTGCCAAGGACCCAGGGCAGTTTCAAAATTTGTCACTTTGCAGGCCGCTGCCAGCTGACCTAGAGTGAGTTGTGAAAGCGATGCTGTAGAGTGGCGGGGCGCCGGGCCTAGACTAGACTTAAGGGGCAAAAGATCGAGAACAATGTTTGTACAGGGTGTTAGCCCAAGCCAAAGCTTGGAGACTCCCATTGTACAGGACGCTCCAGCGAAAACAGCGTCGGCGTTTCCATACATTTCCTCTTTCACGAAAGCCA